TAAATTGGTCTATTTTTATTTTATAAGTAACTAAGACTTTTTTTCTTATAATATAAAATTAAATACTGCTATAATATCATCTTTATTTTCAAATATTATCAAAAAAAATTTCATTTAAATATATTAAAATTTAAAAAAAGTAGATCATAACTATATTTATGATAATTTTTCAGACAAATTTGCCTGGAAAAGCCTACAGTTTAAGAGATAGCATGTTTTGGCAATGCAAGAATGCTGATACATTACATGGCTTCAAATATTATTAGAATCAACTTTTGAACTTCTTTAATACAAAACCATATCTTGAACATTATCTTTATGAATATTGACATTCATAGGTACATGCCTTCACTACGATAATATTTACACTTGGAATTCAATCTACATCCTTCGTCAAAAATCAAAATGCATATATCAAGTGAATGTTAAAGAATAGTAACATGTTATTATATGACCTAGATAAAGTATTAATAGAAAGAAATAAGGAAAAACAAAAGTGAAAGCAATTTGAAGAATAGAGACAGAGTATTCCTTCTACAACAAGTGTTGTTATATTTTTCACTCTATAGAATCTTTAGTAAAATACTATTTGAGACCAAATGTTTTACATTTTTTAATAAAGCAAATGAAGAAAAGTTTATATTATACTGCAAGTTGTTCTACAATTGAAGAAGTAGAATCACTTATGGGTTATGAATCTTCTCAAAGTAAAGACATAAATAATGAGTTTGATGTGGTTTATCTTTCTGCAAAGTATCTTTTAGATCATTTAAAATAGAATACAATTAAGGAGATCTGAAAAGTGTCAAGAGTTATGAGTTATAAGGTTAATTATTTCATCTTTCTTCTTGCAGATGGTTCATATGGTTGTACTTGTCTTTTGCAACAAAGAAAAGGTCTTGCTTGTTAGAGACGTGACAAAAATCAGGTGATTTTTTAGGGGAGAGGTAAAAAAAGTTAAAATTATATATAAGAACCTGATTTTTTTTTATATTAAAAGGGGGTAAGCCTCTAATAAAAAAAAATTAGATGATAAATGACACTGCTCTTATCATTTTTATTATCTATTAAATATTATAGTGAAGGCACAATTTAGTTTGGTATTAATAGCAGCATGATAGATCCTAAAAAACAGATGACTAGATGCAGTGAAAGAATATTCATACTCCAGTTAATAATTTAATGAATTAGCTAATAATAAGAATATTGTTCAAGAAATTAGTGAGTATCAATTTGTATAGTTGCAACCATTTGCTAGTAATGAAACTGGTGATTCTATAAATGAAGAGTTTGTCAATAAAGTTCTTTTTTATGAAAAAATTTGTGATTTCGCTCATACTGCTATTAATAAGTATATGTTGCATCGTGATTATGAATTTGTTGACTTAATTAAAGCCTATTTAGAAAAGATTCGTGTTAGAAAAAATGAATTGGCTGAGGAACAAGAAGCTACAACAGATCAAGATTCTATTAAAAATGTAGAAAGTAATATAATATCAATTGTGAATCCTCGAAAGGTGATTACTAAAGGAAGGCCAAAGTCAGCAAGTCATAATAAAAATGTAGTGACTACACAAAAAAAAAGTAGTAAGAAATGCAGACAATATACTTGTGAATTTTGTAAAAAACCGGACCATAATATTGCAACTTGTCCACATAAAGAGAAAGAGTAAGTATGTAGGATTCATCGAAAAAAACTAACTCATGTCCAGAATAATCGTCCCACCAATTTGATCCACTTTTTTGTTTCTGAGGTTTT